TAGGTTTGTGGAGGATTCTGGTGAGTTCATGGGAGAGGTCTGTCTAATGGTGGGGAGGGGGCCAAAAATAACCCAGTCAAGGTTGGGGTTGTGAATAGCACAGCCCCAGATCTGGGGCAAGTAGCTGGGCCTTCCTACCCCTGGGGCTGTGCTGTAAATGCATTCAGGCAATCACAAGATCAATTTAACTCTTTCCTACATCAAGGAAATGTAGGAAAGAGTTCCTAAGGTACACTAATTTAAATCAGGTAAGCCATTCTGGGGAGTATTTAAGGCTTCTGAATGCCTTCCTAATTGGACATTTAGACCAAGCTAACTCTAGTCAATCTAAATGTAACACCTGTACATAACCTATGCTTGAAGGAGAAGAATGTCAGTTTAATGTTGTGGCCATTCTTAACCTAACTAAATTAATGTCATTGATCATTATCAGCCTATTTATTGTATTACCATGACAGATAGTAAACAACGCATTCAGTAAACTTTCCACAGATGCCATCAAGGAACAAAAAAGAGATATTAAGAGACATGAGTCCTGATTTTGTTTTTTCTCTTTTCCTTTAGAAAGGTAAAACTCAGGATTAAAAAAAGATATGTGGCTGCTTGCAGATGTTTAAAAAAAACAAGCAAAAAAATCTATGCTTTACTAAAAGAAGCAGCACGTTACTTCAACCCAGCTCTGCAGTGTCTGTAAAGATTGGGTGCTTCAGCAGGGTTTTTTGGCACTTTTAGCTAAAGCTAATTCAGCTATTAGATAAAAAGCACCAAAAAAGTCCCACTAAAGCACCCTGTCTTTACAGACATTGAGCAAGCCAGGTTGAAGTAACGGTCTTCCTCTCCTAAGCATGCATGGGGCTTGGCATGGGAGACACTGAATTTAATTAAAAGCACTGTTGGGGGGTGGGGGGGATTAAGTCTGCAAGCACTGTGTTTCCTGATATATTGAAAATTCATAGTTTGATTCTAAATAGATTTCCTATATCAAATAGGCTTGTATTCCTCGCTTCCTGAAAGCTAGATTTAAACCCAGTGCTTGTACTGAAAAAGATGAAGTGAGGGAATGCAATCAACATAAGGCTTTAAACTTACATCTGTCACAGTTCAAACTGCAATGAAATCGAAATCTAATGCTTTACAAGTTCTGTGAACTTAATTCTCAGATTTTTATACCACACTAAAGAAAATGGCTAGCTAAATTTTCCAACATTAATCTGTATGACTTTTATAAGCTTATAACTGATACCTGTTAGAGCCTAAATTTCAAACAGTACAACTGTTCCAAGTGTGCAAAAATATATTTATTAATGTTTTCTAAGATTAAACTTTCTTCCTTGCTTTTCAGAGATCAAGTGTACTTACACAAGGAACAAAATCATGTCAAACTTTAAAAGAGTGCTTTAACTTCCTATTATCTATTTTCCCTGGTTTTCAACTGCAGTGATGTTTCAGTCTTTGAGGAGGATAATATATCTTAAATTTACTTGCAACCTTATTAACCCATTACCAAAATACTCAGAGAAAGACGATGAAGGACATATTGACAACTGGCCTGTTTTTCCCTCTTCAGTGTGTATGAGTTGCTAGTGTTTCATCAGTTGTCAGTATTGTCTTCCTTAGCATGTATTCAGCTAGTAACTGCATTCTGTATTGAAGCAAACTTGAAGAATTAATTATGTATTTTTATTCTTCCATTATCAGATTTATTTTATATATGATTAATATATATCCAGTAAATATTAGGGCTGTGCGAAGCTTTGGTCTCTGATTCAATTCAGCAGAGATTTGGCCCTATTTGGTGGCTGACTCTCCAAATCCAAATTGAATCAGAGAACTCTAATCTCTCTGAATCAAATCAGAACCCTCCAAATCAATTCAGAGAGATTCAGAAAGATTCAGATATTTAGACATAGAGACAGCTTTAAATGTTTTCTTCTACATACCTCTAAGTAGCAGGGGCTCATGGGTGCTGCGATGCTGGGGTGCATTGAGTGACCCACAGAAGCACGAGGGGCTCCCCAGCACACTCGGCAGCAGACCCAGAAGTGGTTCAGAAGCACTTCCAGTCCACTTCCGGGTCTGCTGGGGAGCACACAGGGCTCCCCCCCTCCCCGGCTCGGTGACTGGTGACTCCTGGGTCGGGGGGGTCACCTGGGGTCCCCCTGCACCTGATCGCTGACTGGGGGGGGCAGAGGGCCCCCCTGTGCGCTCCCTGGAAGACCCGGAAGTGGACCAGAAGTACTGCTTAACTGCTGAGCATGTGGAGCCCCCCCCCCCCCCCTCCCCCCCTGGGGGGTGCTTTCAACCTGTGGGATGCTCTATACACCCCAGCATTGCAACAATCACGAGCCATGCCTGTTACCTCAAGGCATGTAGAAAAAACTTCTAAACCTGTGTCTATGTCCGAATCACTGATTCTCCAAATCAGCATTGAATCTTCAGATTCAGATTAGGCCAGGGACTGTGATCCAAATCAACAAATGGAATCACTGTCCCTGATTCAGGCATAATCCAAATCTGAATCAAATAGGACCTGCTTTGCACACCCCTAGTAAATATATGTTGAAAACTTTGAAGTATGATGTTCAAAGGTAACTGACCTTACCTCCATTAATATTTTTTATTAGTCAGCTGCTGTGTTTGGATATACATGTAGCATTGGGAGCAACCCCCCCTCCCAAAACTAGGACTTGCATCAAAATGGGATCAATGGAAGGACTATTGCTCTATGCAAGGACAAAATAATATAGGTGAAAGCCCTCTACCCTCTTTATTTGGGTCATTTGCAGCAACTTCTTATAAAAGCAATGATACCAAACTGGATGTTCCTGTAATTTCTTTCTTCAACTCCTGCCTCAAAGATTCCATCCAGAATGACATTTTAGTCCCATTAAACTAGTTTTTATCTCTCTGTCAAATTCCTTCTGATTACCCAGGTCTTCTGCCAGGCCCGTAAACATTAAGTGATTTAAAAATAAAGCTAGCACCACACTATTTGAGCTGTAAAAACAAAATCCAAATTGTTCCAATGCTTTCAGTCTCCGTATTTATTCTTTTCTGATATTTATCTATCTCTCTGACCTAATCCATATTTGGATGAGTGATACTTATGCATCTGCATAGTACCATTGAAGTCACAGAAGTACCCAAGGGACCTAGTTTAGCAGGGTACTTAAGCTTGTGCTTAAGTCTCATTGAAATCAGTACTACTTAAGCATGAGCTAACAACTAAACAAGTGCTTAAATGCTTTATTAGTAATCAAGATCAAATTTGCAACAGAATGATGTCCTAAAGAAACAAATTGATTCAGGCATATAACTACCATATTTTTTCACATACAACATGCACGTAGCTCCTCAAAATCAGCACCCCCCAAAAAAATGTTTCTGTGTACTTTTAGTAGGAAGTTGTTTTCTTTCCTGAAAAAGAAACAAGCGAAGATGCACTGAATGTCATACAGCTATCAATGTGGCTGCCAAGGTAGCGAAGTCCTGTATTAACCTTCTCACAGCCAGAGCTATTGGTTGAACACTGTAGCTTATTCCTGAAGCAGCAAGATGTTGCTAGTACATTACGAGGCTTGTGATGTGGCACCAGCACTTTTTCTATAGGAACTTATATAAAGAACCACCTGCAGTTAAGAACTAATGGTTATGCTACTGCCCTTGCAAGGGTTTTGGCCCAGGAACTTCCTGGTACTGCACTTTCTGAATACTCTGTCTTCCCAGGAGAATTTGTTTCATCACACAGTCAGTGAGACTCTGGAAAAAATCTTTTTTCTATAGTCTGCCTTCTAAAAGCAAGGTTCTGTTTTATTTAGGGGCATCTTGTATGCAAGAAAACATGTTATTTACATCCCTTTGCTATTTGCACTGGGAGGTGCGATTGTCCCAGCACATTTTGCATTTGATTTTGCAGTGTTCTGTATTTCATATTTTGTTGTCACCATCATAACTGTGATGTCGCTTTTCACATTGTCATTTTACTGCCAGTCATGCAGTGGGCCCGAGCACACTCTAGTATGAGGATAAGCATTTTTATGACTAGCAAATGTACCTTGTAACAAGAAAAATAAATTAAAGATAACACAGATTGTATTTGCTTATTAGGTCTGAAAATTTTCCTCAGTGTAAAAAGAATTTTCCTTACTATATAAAAAGAATTAATCCTGAAAAGAAGTATTCTCTCTCTCTTTCTCTCTTTCTCTCTCTCTCTGTTGCTTTTAAATTAGCTGGGAATCTTTTAATTACGTTAAAATATGTTTAAAGTTTTAAAAACTGAAAGGTCCTTTATCAAATGTCATAGTCTATCCAAATGCCCATTTTTATGTTAGATACCTCATTGCAACAATAATGGGAATGTTATTAAATATACAGAACAGCATTTGGGTTTTTTTTCAGACAGATTTATAGATTTTTATGTAGTAATTTAGCCAGATGTTTCAAACAGGATGGTTTACTAAATTTTCTGAAAATCAAGATTCTGTTTTAGAGGCCATATTATTGCATTTCATAAACATACTGCATAATTGTAAGTTTCTTATTATGGGTTTGAGGCTCCTGCAACAATTGAAGTGCTCTTTTTTAAATGTACATTAATGCAGTCAATCTTCTAATAGGTGTGGTCATATATATTTATAAATATGAGAAGCCATTGTTTTAAATTACTTGCTATTCTGCCATAATACTTTATTTTTTATCCCATGCTTACATATCAGCACTTGGATCACTAATACAGTGTATCTGTGTTCAACACAGTAAACCTGGTTATTTTTTGTTGCAATATGTGTGTTTTCTAGGCATATTAAAATTTACTATTAGAGTTCCATGGGTGATTTCAGTGGCATTTTAAAGATACTGAAAACAGCTCAAGGCTTCAAATAAATGCACCTTCAACTGTAAATTGAATCTGGTGTGATGTTTTGTAAATAGAACAGAACATACACTTTGATAATAAAGCATTTTAGTGTACTCTCAACAAATTGATCTTATTTTTTTTCTAGATACACCTTCTGTTAAAATCATATCTTCCAATTCATGGCCTGAAGAAGGACAAACTATAATTTTGACTTGTGAATCCAAAGGAAAACCAGTGTAAGTGATTTAACAAGCAATATGTTTTTGTTATTTTCTTTATTCTGCTGTGATTGCAGTCTCTGACTGCAAAAATCTGCTGTTTTTGTCTTGTCCTGGGGTGTGAAGTGATCTCTGGTACAGAATAACCCTTGAAGCCTGTCTTCATTAAGTGTCTATGGAAGATTGGTCTCTTACTTTGTCATCTATTTTAGTTTTGGGGAAGAATTCCAGCTGTGAGATTTTTTCAGTAAGTCATTTCAACCTGAAAGGAGTGCAGGCTTAATCAGTCTCTGTTTACATCATTGAACTGATGATAGTTGAGGCAGAACATCTCATGAAAAACTTCTCATGTCAACAAGCCTCTCAAAAAATGTATTGAACTTTCTGCCCATTTGGCTAACATGTGCATGAAAACTTGAAATGTAATGATATATGCAAATGGACTCAATTCTATCACAATTAAAAATTATACCTTAAGAAATAAATTATAGATACAGTATTTCAGTCGCACTTTGGAAATGGTCAACTATATGCAATAATATTTTATGTCAAATTTGCAAGCATTGAATCTATACAGAATCCATTATTGGAGAAAAACAATCCTAAAATGCTTTCTTTCCAATTATGATAAACCTCCTAGGCATAATCACTATTTAAAACAGTAAATTCCCAATTGAATTGTGTTTTGAATTTACAGAAGAAGAAACAGCCCTGAAATGAGATGCCTGAATATAAACTATCTATGAGCTTAAAACATAAACTGTCAAGGAGATTAATTTCACATTATATAGAACAATAATATGCAGAATTAGAGTAGTCACTTAAGTGAAATATTGGTGAAAACGTACTTTGATTATATTCATATGTAAGATGAATGCAAAAAAGAGGGGACTGGATAACATCTAACCTATAACCCAGTAAAGCATCATGCTGGAAAATTGGAGACCTAGGTGTAGCCGTTAGTTTATTACTCAGCTGAAACACAAGGGGCACCTCCTCCTCTTCCTATGGTTTTTGCCCAGCTTTAATTTTAGGACTTTTGCCTGGGTACACACATATAGGGCTATGTACCTGCCCTGCCAAAGTACAGCTTACAGCCCATAGCCATGTGAAAAAGGATTGCAAGCTATATGTAAATGCTAAAATTGACAGGTATACAGCTTGTTAAGTGCCATTTGAGCACATATAGTGAACTAGGATTCTGTCCTAGATGTTCCTGTGCCTACTCCTCTGACGGGCTTGATCTGGGAAGTATTCTGGAAGCATACATAACACACACCTTCATGGCTAGACTTCCCACAAAGTGCAGTTGCAGCATCCACTTTCTTTTAGAAGGAGGAAGTTATTGCCCCCCCTTTATATAATGGTATAGTTGTTAAGAGCATTTGCTCAAGAGTTGGAACACCCAGGTTCAGTTGCTACTTCTCTGGAGAGTGTTTCAAACACCAGGTCATTGATTATTCTGTCTGGAAGCATTTTCCAACCCTCTCTGTTTAAGCTGCATCACTGTGCAGAAAAGAATGCAAGTTCATGGGACCAGAAAGACTGCACAAGAAGGAGCATATAGACAAGTGGTTAGGGTACTCACCCGGGGAGATAATCCTGCATTCCAGGTGTGGTTTCTGAAACCAGTGCTGTATTTTATCCAACTGTGACTTCTTTGACTGCAGTATGAGTCCCACTCATAACATAGCACAGCTGATTACCCTCAGGATAGAGGGTTCAGAGCTGTAGATCTACTCTATTCAGACAGAGACTTCCATGAAGCCCTGAGTAAAGTATCTGAAATGTGAAATGAAAAATCGCCACCTTTCCTGAGCATTTCCTATTTGTGTAACTCTTGCACTTAAAATATTCTGAGGTTAGGTGACAGTGTGCTCAGCCTTCTGTTTGTTTTGAATCAAATTTTGAGATACCTACATTTTATCTTTGACTGTATAAGCTCCCAATCACAGAGTTCTGGATTCCACTCCTAGGCCAGGCACCTAAAAGTTGAATGTTGTCAGGTCCTTTGACCTTCAGCGCCTGCATCACATAATTCCTTTACAAAGAGATTTTTGTTTTGTTTTATGACATGCATCCCATTTGTACAAAATAGATTTTCTGCTCTTTTAATGATATTAGCTGCCCTTGAATTTTAAAAGACATGGAAAAGACAATGCTCTTCATTCTTGAGGAGATTTGAAATTCAATGTATGACAATACATCAGAAAGCTTTGTTGAGTATATGAATCATTTTTTTTTCACATGCCAAAGACATAAGAATGTTCTACTGAAGGAAGCAAATAATTCTCTTGGTTTATCAGGAGATTTTCTTCCAGATCATGATTTTGCAATTACTATGTCATTTATAAATGACATTTTATGATGGCAATAACAAAAACTGAAAAATGACATATTTTATCTTTATATATAAAATATTTTTCATTTCATTTTTTTCTGTATCACCAAGAACCTTCAGCAGACTTCAGTGAAACGCCAGTTTTAGGAAAAATTGTATAAATTATAATATTTAAATAGTATGGGCTACATTTTAAAAAATGAGTCCAAACTTGGGATATTTGTATGAGTAGACTTTACATTCATGGTGCAGTGTAAAAAAAAGACACAAAATGGACCTTGGCAGATTCAGATTTAAAATGTTCAAGTTGTTTGATGAGATAGCTGTGGAAAGGTCTATGCCATCAACTCATCAAAGCAGGGCACCAGTATGCAAATGGCCTCTGGGGCACAAATAATTTGTGCCAATAATTGCACCTCTAATTGTCCATACCAAGGGAGCTGCCAACATCAGCTACTCTGTATTGCTTCATTAGGTCAGCCATTTCACATGCAGCAGCCAGTGATAAACAGCCAGGCACTGGGGAGCAGTTTGTGGCTGCTTGGTATGTTAACAGTAGTGTCATGCTGAAAGATCCCATTATTGTGGCTACCTTTAGGCTCAAGAGGGAAAGA